ATGTTGTGGGGTTGTTAACCAATGTCATAAAACAGCATGTGTGTTACTGTTACATGAGAAACTATCTGTTCTGTAAGCCTTCACCTGAAGTACAGTAAAATATTTTAAAAAAAAAAAACAGTTTTGGCTACAAATTCTGCCTCTGGCATTTACTAGCTGGGTGACTGTGGACAAACCACTTAATTTCTCTGGACACCCACATCATCAAATTGTTATAAGACTTAAATAATATAAGTGAACCATCCAACAGCACATCTTGCCTGTTGTAAGCCCTTAGTGAGTGGCTGCTGATACTGTCAGAGGCAGCATGGGGAGAATGCATGTGCTTTCAAAGCTGGAAGGATCTTGGTTCAAATCCCTGCTCGATCACTTATTATCTGTGGGATTTACCTTAGGAAAATTACATAACCTCACTGGGTCTCTGCTCCTCATTTCTACAATGAGGATAACAAACCTGGCTTGCAGGGTTGTTGCACATTATATCCCGAAATGTTGTATACCCACCGCTGGTGGTGCATGAGATGATGTTAGGTGGCACAGAGAAATGCTATTGAAATTTTAACTGTGAGGTAATTTTTTTCATGTGCACTAGAAAAAAATATAAAAGTCACATCAAAGGTTTTTTCTTCAGGCGTAATATTCCTTAGAAAAATTCTGAGCTAACATTTTTTACTGATATTTAAAGAGAGGAAATGGAACAATGGAAAATAAAGATGTAATGGTCCAGGTGGTGTGTAGGTAGAGCAACAATTAAGAAGGTGGGCTGAGGGTGGAGTTTGCTTAACTCTGGGGAAATGACAGAAAAGAATGTAATAATGACAACCAAATGCAATACCTCGCCCTAGACTGAGCTATACTGGAAGGAAAAAAAAAATGCTATCAAGGACATCATTGAGTCGTGACAAATCAGAATATGATGCAGTTTAGATAAAAGCATGATATCAATGGTAAATTTGCCAAAGTTGATAACTGTGCTATGCTTAAGTAAGAGAATAGCCCTATCCTTTATATAAGGTGCAGAGGGCCCTGAGCTATGTAACTTACCTTTAAATGGTTCAGAAAAAAATTATGTGTGTGTGTATGCATATGGAGTTCCTAGATGGCACAAATGGTTAACATGCTCACTGCTAACCAAAACGTTGGGGGCTTGAGTCCACCCAGAGATGCCTCAGAAAAAGTCCTGGCCATCTACTTCTGAAAAATCAGCCATTGAAAGCCTTATGGAGCACAGTTCTACTTTATACACATGGGGTTGCCCTGAGTCTGAAGAGACTCGACAGTGACTAACTGGTTTGGTTTTCATTACATATATACATATATAATCACATATATGTATATACACACTGTCTTAGTTATATGGTGCTGCTGTAACAGAAATATCGCAAGTGGATGGCCTTTAAGAACCGAAATTTATTTCCTCTCAGTTTAGGAGGCTACAAGTTAGAATTCAGGGCACTGGCTCTAGGGGAAATCTCTCTGTCGGCTCTGGGAGAGGATGCTTGTCTCGTCTTCCGTAGCCCCGGGTTCCTTGGCATCTTGGCAATCCCCACGTGTGCTTCTGTCTTCCCCAGTTTGTGCTTGCTTGACTCTGTGTCTGTGCTGCTCTTTATATCACTCAGAAGTGATTAGGTTTAAGACCTACCCTACAGTGATACATTCTTACTAACATAACAAAGAAAACCTTATTTCCAAACAGGATGACATGCACACGGTCAGGATTCCAACACATATTTTGGAGCGGGACACAATTCAGTACATAACACACATATACACATATGTGTGTGTACATGGATATATGCATATATATGTAAATGTGTGCATGTGTTCATTCATTCATTCATTTATATGGAGAAAAAGAACAAATGAAAAAGCAAATGGGCATACTAAAGGAATCTAGGTAATAGATGTCCTCGGTGTTATTTTTATTTTTGCAACTTATACAAGTTTGAAATTATATCCAAATAAAAACTTAGAAAAAAAAAGCAAGTCAAGTTCACAGCACAGTGTCTGGCTGTGAAACACACTCAGCAAACGCTCTGGCTCTCTCTCCTTCCCTCCTGCCCAGCGTGGAGACGGTGAATGACGGGCAGTTTCACAGTGTGGAGCTGGTGATGCTGAACCAGACCCTGAACCTGGTGGTGGATAAAGGAGCCCCCAAGAGTCTGGGGAAGCTCCAGAAGCAGCTGGCAATGGGCATCAACAGCCCCCTCTACCTTGGAGGTAAAGTCCTCCTCCCCTGCCACCCCGACCTCCTCCACCACCCACCTGCCCTCTGTGCAGGGTTTGGGGGTTGCCCGGCTCTCTGCACCCCTGCCAAATCCAATCAAGGAAGGCTTCCTGGAGGAAGTGACAACCAAACTGATTCCTAAAGGGTGACTAGGCATTAGTCAGGCCATGAGGAGAAGAAGAGTCCCCCAGACAGAGGAACAGTGTGTGCAGATGCTTAGGAAGGAAAAATAGAGAGTATGGCTTCTTTGAAACTACCAAGTTGGACACAGGGTGGGGGTGTGCAGATGGAATGGGAGCAGGGTGAGAAGAGGAGAGGCAGGAGATGAAGGCGGGGTCCGGGCCCTGCCATCTGCAGGCCTCAGGCCACATTCCCTCTGCACTGCCACCTCCTCAGACACTGAGAGGCTCAGCTCATGGAGGCAGCAGAGCAGGTTTGAGATTAATGTCCTATAAAAGCCAAATGGAAAAGTAACCACCTGTCTGGCAGGGCCTGGGCCTGAAATGTAGCCCCTGGGCCAGTAGTTCTCAAAGCTTTATAGGCAAAAAAGTCACCTGAGCTGCTGGTTCAACACAGAGATTCCTGAGAATTCCCCCAAAGAATCTATCTCTGAAGGGCTAGAACTGGTCCAGGAATCCACATTGTTAACAAGAGTCCAGATGCAGGGGGTCAGGGAATGCCCTTGGCCCAGAGCAGTCCCAGAGGGTAAACAGCTTCTCCCCAGGTAAAGGGCTGTTGTTCCCTCCCCTTCACCTGCTTCAGTTGTAGCTGGAGCAAAACTGGGTCCTCTGAGTCTACTTTCAGACCAGTCTCAGGCTCCCATCAGGAGAGGAGACAGAACACAAATCAGATTGCATTGAAAGGCAAAGCAGGTCTTTATCAATTGCCTCTTAAGACACTGAGAAGGGCAGTGGGCATCCACAGCCCCCTCTGTCTTGCAGCACATAAAGCAGCGAGTGAAATGTCTTTCTCCCCAAAGTTCCACTGACCAAGGCTGCTGCCCCAAATCTCTCCTTTTTCCCCCAGACTCTAGCTTGCCCACCCTGTGTTCTCAGCTCATGTGGGGGCTGTAACAAAGGTCTGAGGAGACTGGTGGGGTCAGTGGAGTCATTTGGTGCCCCACTCCCATCCAAAGAGGTAGTCAGTCACCCCAGTCAGCTGTGGCCACGTGGCCGTGGGCCATCAGATGGCCTCATTGTCCTGGAGAAGCCTGAAATTTGGAGTCTTATGTGAAGTTTTCCATATGTAAATATTGGTAGTTAATGCAAGTGTCTTAAAGAGTCACAGTGGGGGACAAAGAATGCATGTCCTTGTGTGGACAAGGCTGAGGGAAGCTAGGTTTCGCCCATGACCTTGATTTGAGCAGTGGAGGCTCAGCCCTGTGAATCCTTACCCATGAGCACCATAGAGAGCCCGTTCTCATTCTGAGGGGAGGACTAGGTTGGGCAGTGAACAAAGGAGGGTTTTCAGGCCGCCGTTCTGGTGTCCCCTTCTGCAGGTATCCCTACCTCCACGGGCCTCTCGGCCCTGCGCCAGGGTGGGGACCGGCCACTGGGCGGCTTCCACGGCTGCATCCACGAAGTGCGCATCAACAACGAGCTGCAGGACTTCAAGGCCCTCCCGCCGCAGTCGCTGGGGGTCTCACCAGGCTGCAAGTCCTGCTCCGTGTGCAAACATGGCCTGTGCCGCGCGGTGGAGAAGGACAGTGTGGTGTGTGAGTGCCACCCGGGATGGGCCGGCCTGCTCTGCGACCAGGAGGACTGGGACCCCTGCCTCAGCCACAGGTCAGTGTCCCAAAACCCCTGGGACGTTCTCCCCCAGCTCCCTGCACGGACTTAGACCCTGCCCTCCACCCCTGCCCCTGAATGAGAAATGGCACTAATGGAAGCTAGAGACATTGTGGTTCAACTCTAGATAGGATCTGTGTAAGATGTGGCTGCTTAAAAGGTAGAGATGCTAAGCTTACACACTCAAACAGCAGGTCCCTCTCAGAGGCATCAGTATGAGAGGGCCTTGCTCAAAACACCCCAGGGATGTCTCTGCCAAGCGGCCTTTAGAACATGAACAGACTCACAGCAAGCCCCTGTGCTGCCTCTGTGCGAGGGAGTAGAGGGTGCCCCCTTTGGGCTGATGCAGCCCGTGGGCACTCGGCTCAGCAAGTGGAGCCAGGGTGAACGTCAGCCCCAGTATGGCTACCTCCTGAGCTGCTTCCCTGTGCAGCCATGCACGGCGGCCCTGAACTAGAATCACACTGAATGATTTAATCATTCATTCGTGTACTCAACACATTTATTGAGGGCCCACCATTCTCTGGTTCAGGGTTAGGAAATCTGAATCAGCCAAAAAGCACACCAGAGGCAACATTGGTAATTTGGTCGGCCAAGCAATTTGGGAAATGGCATCCTGGATCAGGAATAAGGAGCAGTTATAAGGGGTTTGAGTTTCTTGTGTAGCTCCTGAGTGTATGTGTGTGTATGTGTGTGTGCACTTGAGTCTACAATTAATAGGAATCCTGACTTTGAGTGTCATCCCAGTAGGGACAATGATGAATCATGGTTCAGAATCTGGGCTTTGGAATTACACTCCTGGCATCAGGCTAAGACTGTTTACTGCATAGAAGCAGCAGAGGAGGGGTTTCTGTGGAAATCAAGAGTGATGCTAGATGTAAAACACTTAACACAATGCTTGGCACATAGCAAGTGGTAGCTACTGATAATAGCAGTCACAGCTGTGGTGGCGGGTGGTAGTAGTAGGAGTGTTATTATTATCATTTAAGGTAGTAGAGCAATTAAAATGCTTACAGGAATCTTAGATTCTTCCAAGCAGTGCCTTGCCATTTGGAGATGAGAATTCTGATGTCTGTGTGTAAAACAACCACCCAGCTAGCCTCTGTTGAGGTCACAGCTGGCAGTTAACATTGGGTAATGCTGTAGAGCCTCCAGCAGATTGGACACTGGAGCAGGGTAGTTCAGAAAAGAGAAAGGCTCAGCCACTGGGCTGGAGGAGGGCAGACCATGGGATGGAGAAGGCCTTTGGGCTGCACTCAGCCCTGGGTCCCACAGCCCCTGAAAGTGGGCCAGGCCTGTCGGAGCCTGGTTCCTGGCCATGTGGACAGAGGAAGCCTCCGGCAGCATAGATTCTGCTCTGCTTCCCTTTCTCACCCTCTCCTCTGCCCCCAGCTGCAGCCATGGAAAATGTGTGGCAACTGGGACCTCATACACGTGCATGTGTGCCGAGGGCTATGGAGGGGCCTTGTGTGACCACAAGAATGACTCTGCCAATGCCTGCGCAGCCTTCAAGTGTCACCACGGGCAGTGCCACGTCTCAGATCGAGGGGAGCCCTACTGCCTGTGCCAGCCCGGCTTTAGTGGAGAGCACTGTGAACAAGGTGAGTCCACTGTGCACGTGGAAGGGAAGATGTGGGGGGTCAGAGTTGGATTCCAGAGTAGGACTGCCTGGGTTCCAGTTCCGGCTGTGCCACTTAGTGACTGTGGTCAAGTCACTTAATCTTTCTAAACCTCAATCCCTCATCTTGAAAATTGGAGTAAAACAATAAAATCCTGTATCAGTTATCTATTGCTGCCTAACATATTACCCCAAAACACAGCAGCTCAAAACCGCAATATAACAGTATCTATCTCACACAGTTCCTATAGACCAGGAATTCAGAAGCAGCTCAGCTGGATAGTTCTAGTTGGGGTCTCTCTTGAGGCTGCATTCAACACAGCCAGGGCTGCAGTTATCTGGAGGCTTAACTGAGGCTGGAGGAACTGCTTCCAAGACAGCACACTCACATGATGCTGGTTGTTCCAGTTTCTCCCTGTGTGAGTGTCTGCACAGGCTGCTCAGAGGTGCTCACAACAGGGCAGCTGGCTTCCCCCAGAGTAAACAAGGAAAGATGGAGCAAGAAGGAAGCCACAGTGTCTTACGTGAAGTCACTTACACCATCATTTCCACAACATCATGTTGGTTATCCAGATCAGCTGTATTCAGTGTGAGAGGGGACTGCATAGAGGTCATGGGTACCAACAGGTGGCGATCACTGGGGTCATCTTGGAGGCTGGCTACTCTACTTCTTATAGGGTTCTTGTGAGGATTAAATGAGATGTAAAGTACCTGGCACTGTCACCCAGTGCTAGGAGTTTGGTAGCTGAACTACTGGTAGCCTAGTTCCATAAAAAATCCAGGTCAAGATTCATAAAGTTGGAGGCAGCATTATGATGGAGAAGTCTGAGCTTTGCACTGAAAACCTATATGACCTTGAGCAACATACTTCACCTCTCTGGGCCTCAGTGTCCTCATTTGTAAAGTGCAGATAATTCATAGGTCTCTGTGAGTGGGAATCATCTCAGTGGTAGTCGGTACTGCATAGGTTTATTGTGAGGATTAAATGGTATACTAATAAAAAGATCACAAGTTAAGACTCTTCAAGTTTGGATTTTTAACATTTTTATAAGTGAATGATAAATGATGTATAAACCAAGGATCCAACTAATTTGAGGATGAAACAAGTGTAGAAAATGATCATCTGTGGACTTTTGTGGGGAGGAGGGAGCATGAGCCATTTGGGTTGCTGACCTTTTCTCTTCTTTTCTTTACCAACTGTCGGTCCCTGAGATGTCATGCCTTCAAAGCTAATCTACACCCTAACTGGTCAGTGTGACTCTCTGACCAGCAGGCTTGACATCACCTGGGAGCTTATGGAAAATGCAGATTCTCAGGCCCTAGCCACAATCTCTTGAGTTACAACTTGCATTTTAACAAGAGCTCCCAGTGATTCATATGTTGCTTTCACATTCCAGAAGTTGCTCTACAGTCTTGTTCCAATCTTCCCATCAGGAACAGAAGACAGTTCCTTGGTCTGGCCCGTTCTCATAAGCATCAGATTTCTTTTCTCAGTTAGTGGCCCCTTTATTGTATTAATTTTGAGGTGTGCTTCCTTCAAACTAAAATTGTTCTAATTCACGTTGGGTTTGTTCTCCTGCATGGAAACTGAGAAGGTTTCCTCCCTGACACCAGAGTCCCAGCTAGGCCATTAGAGAACTCTTTTATACCTAGATTAAATACAATTCTTAACCAAAATTTTTTTTTTTTAACTAATAAATTCAGACTCACAGAAAAATTACCAGGACAGCATGAAAAAAAAAAAATGCTGTCAAGTCAATTCCGACTCGTAGTGACCCTATAGGACGGAGTAGAACTGCCCCATAGGGTTTCCAAGGAGTAGTTGGTGGATTTGAACTGCTGACCTTTTGGTTAGCAGCCGTAGCTCTTAACCACTGCACCGCCAGAGCTCCAAGGACAGCATAAACAGCTCTCATGTGCCCTTCACCCAGATTCCCCAACTGTTAATATTTCACCGCAGTTGCAATCTTGCTCTCTCTCTCCTCTACGTGCACATTCACACTCACACACACACTCATTCTTATTAGTCTCTTTCTGATCATTTTAATAATTTCATAGTTTAAAAGACTATACAGAGCTTAACAAAATTCATGTGACATCATATTAAAACACCTAAAGCTTTTAAATGCATAAAGCACTTTGTCATTCTCAATCTTCTCTGATGCTTCTAACAGCCTTGAAGAAGTAGGAAGGACAGGTAAATGTGTCACCATTTTCCAGACAAGGAAACTGAAGCTCAGAGCTGACAAGTGACTTGTCTGTGGCTGGGTGGCCAAGGAGTCTGGCTCTAAGTCCACTGCACTCATCCTTAGTGCCTCGCTCCAGACATTCCTCTAGTGGAGTGAGGACAGCAGAGAGGTGAAGAGGAAGGGTTGAGTTAGAGTTCAGGATATTCAAGCAGATATAGGGGTTCCCTCCCCCTCCTTCCAGTTATTCCTAGGACTTCTAGAAAAGCTCATCCCCACTGTCTTTGCCTTATTAACTCCTACCCCTCATCACTTCCCAGAGAGGCATCCCTGGCCGCCAGGCTAGGTCAAGTTCCTTGGCTCTGTGCTGTTGTAGAAATAGGTTCCTTTACTTTGTAGCATCTACCTCAGTTTCTCATTAAAATATATTCACTTAAATGATTATATTAGTGTCCAGACCCTAGACCAAAGAAAACAGGCTACTAGGGAGTGATGGTGACTGGGGCAAACTACAAGGCTCCTGCTCTTTCTAAAGCACTCAACTTCAGCCCATCATCGCAATGCAGAGAAGCAAGATCAGCTTTGCCAGATCTCTGGTTTTTAAATGTTCCATTTAATTTTTTTTTCAAGCTTATGTGGGCCAGTAAAAGCATGTCTGAGGAGAGGATTTAGCTCACAGTCTACTAGTTTGCAACATCTAGGTTGGACTTTAAGTTCCTTAATGACAAGGACCAAGGCTGCTTTGGTTATCGTTATATCCTCAGGGCTTAGTTATATCCTCTAAGTCTAGTATAAAGTCTGGCACAGAAAAGGCACTTGATATTTGTAGAATATTTGGGTGGATGGATGCATGGATGTATGGATGAGTGAATGAATAAGTATGTATGGTCTTCAGCTCACCAAGTGTTTCAGAGCAGCCTACTGGGAACTGCCCATGGTCCTGCCAGCCCTCTACACTACCAGAGCCCTGACCCTCCCTCTTCTGCCCTCTGCAGAGAATCCATGCCTGGGGGAGGTAGTCCGAGAGGTGATTCGCCGCCAGAAGGGCTATGCGTCATGCACCACAGCCTCCAAGGTGCCCATAATGGAATGTCACGGGGGCTGTGGGCCCCAGTGCTGCCAGCCCATCCGTAGCAAGCGGCGGAAGTATGTCTTCCAGTGCACGGACGGCTCCTCGTTTGTGGAAGAGGTGGAGAGACACTTAGAGTGTGGCTGCCACCCATGTTCCTAAGCCCCTCTGCCCACCCACCCACTGCCTTTCAGACTCCAGCTTGGTGAGGTTGGGACAGCAATGCGAAATCCCCTTGAGATTCAGTGAGGAAGAGGAAGCTGGAGAAGAAGAAAAAGAAGAAGAGAATATTAAGTATATTGTAAAATAAACAAAAAAATAGAACTTATTTTTATTATGGAAAGTGACTATTTTCATCTTTTATTATATAAATATATCACACCGTCTGAGTATATGTACCATATAGTGAGTTATTTTTACCGAGTTTTTGTTTCGAGTTGTGTATTTGTTGTGTTTTCATAAACAGCTGTTAAAAATTTTAAGGAAAAAAAAAAGACTAATAAAAATGTTTTAAAACAAAAGGGTAAGAATAAAGAAGTCATAGACTGAGGAAGAAGAAGGACGTTTTTATATTCATGAAACACTATCATGGCAACAGAAACTAAGACCTGCTTACGGAACTCAGGAAAAGGAATGATAAGAGGAAGAGAGAGAGAAGGAAAAGAGTTTTCTTTATTTCTTCTTGTAATAGTCCCTCCCTTCCCCCGCCCCCCTTATTTTTTCTTCCCGCCTTAAGCACCCAGCTCTTATAAGAGTACTGGTTGTCCATACCCAAGCTGGCCAGGAAAAGCTACGACCGAGAGCAGCTTCTGCCCTTGTCTGCCCCAGGCTCCCCAGCATCATCTGAGCCCACTGGGAGACCTCTCTTCTCCTTCCTTTGGCCCTGGTCTGAACTCTGACACATGTTTCATCTGGGCCTGTTTTGCCAAATTTTGAAACAGCTGCTCTTTTCCTGCCCTCCTCCCACCCCCCCACCCCTCCCAGGAGCAGTGTCCTCCTGGGTGAGGTGGAAGAAAGGCCACACTGTCCCCTCAGCCCCAGTCACTGGCCCTTGCTTAGTGAGTTCTGGCCCACCCTCCTCCCTCAGCCACCTTCCCGTGGGAATACAATACTAGGAGAGCAGGTGGCCAGGGCTGCTGAGGTGAGGAAGGCCTGGAGCCAAGCCTGCCCACAGCACTGGGGGAGGTCTGATTCCAGAAGGTTCTTGGAGGCTTTTGCTGTGGGACAGACAGTCTTCTGCTGCCTGACCCTCCAGGCCATTGTCATAATGACGAAGACCCCTTGCCCACCTGTAGCACTCTTAACTTTGCAATGTACATCGCATGATATCTCATTACATCCATGCAACCCCCACCCCCAGGAAGGGCAAAGCAGTATAGCCCCTTTAATAGAAAAGGGACCGGAAGCCTCTCTGAGGCTCTGTCACTTGCCTTAAGCCACCATCTGATTAGCAAAGAGTCAGGCCTGGAGACCAGACTCAAAGCTGCAGATTCTTTCTCTAGAATGGCATTAGTGTGGGAGAGACAGCCTGTTTTCTACTAGAAAGAGAAAGTCAGTGTTTTTTCCTGCTATCATCCCTGTTCTTGTTCTACCTTGTTCATTCCTTGTTCTGTCTCCCCAATATCCAGGAAGATTCCAGAAAGTGGGAGTTACATATTGAAGCAATGTGGGCAGAGGCAGCCATTCCAGCCTTCTGAATTCATCCCAAGAATGAACATCCATTCCTAAAGGGAACTTCCCTGCCACCTGTCTCTTTCCATCTCTCTCCCCACTGCCCATTGTCACGTTAGTACATGTTGCCCGGGGTCTCAACTGTTCAACTCCCTGTCTCTCACTACCCATCTCACCTCCCCTAAAGAAGCTCTATGGCAGAAGTTTCAGGGAGGATTATTTGGGACTCAATCACCTGTCATCTATCAGTGTCCCCACTGAAGCCTAGTTGTCCTGTGAGGACCAGTGGTGGGCCAAAAGCAGAAAGAATAAAGAAGGAATAAAGAAAAGAAAGGAAAATGAAGGAAGACAAGCCAAGTGGAAGATGGAAGGAAGGGAAGGAGGGAGGAAGAAAGGAAAAAAAAACATAAAGAAGAGAAGAAAATATGAAGATGAGAAGAAGAGGGATAAAGAGAAGAGGAAGGGAAAGATATGATGGAGGAATTTATTTAAAAATGTGCATGTTGATATATATTATGATCCAGGTACTGTACCTTATGATAGGTGTGTTTTAAATATTAATAGCTAGCATTTATTTAGTACTTACTACATGATACATCAGATACCATTCTTTCTAATTGCTTTATAGATATTAATTCATTTAATTCTTGAAACAACCCTATAGTAAAGCCATTATTAACCCACTTCACAGTTGAGTAAGCTGAGGCACAAAGAAGTTAAAGAATTTGCCAGAAACCAGATATCTAATACATTGTAGAGCCAGGCTTTGAGTCCAGGCTGTCTGGCTCTAGACCTTCCTCAATTAAAATCTAAACCACACTGCTTCATGTGGGAAAGAAACATGCCCCACCACTAAGAAGGCTCTAGTCTGGGACAGAAACAGTCGTGGAAATGGGCAATTGCTTTACTATACAGTGAGTTCTCTAATGATAGTATAATCAAGGGAAGTGGCTGTCCAGAGCAGGAAATTCCAACGCTGAGTCTTAAAGGAGACATAGGAGTTTGCCGGGGGGCAGGAGAGGCATTGGACATTCCAGGGAATGGTCTATTAAAAAGCAATGACATACGAAAGGGATTGATATGTTTGAGGAGCAGTCCGAGCTCTGCGGTAGCAGGAATGCAGGATGCATGCTAGGGAGCCAGATAAATGGAGTAGACAGGAAAGCAAAAGCTGGACCACAAAGGACCGTACATGCCAAGCTAGGCCATGGAGAACTAGCGAGGGCTTAGAAGCAGGGGAATAGCAAGGCAAGCTCTATTTTAGGAAGAAAACTGATGGCAAAGTAGAGAACTACCTGGAAGAGATGTGGGTTGTACCACCTAGAATGGCCTTGGAGTCCCAGTTGTTCAGTTTGTTGTGACTAGAAAAGGCTGATTTCCAGATGGGTCACAGAAGTCTTTGTGGTAGCTCAGATGCTGTGCCCTGGAAGAGGAGTCCTGCCATCTACTCAACACCCCGCCTCATTCCCCCATGCCCACCAGCCCACCACATCCAGGCAGAGGCAGACAGGCAGGTGGGCCTTATTCCTAGCTAGTCTCTCCCCACCCAGCACAAAGCCCATTCACCTGCCATCTCCAGAGCCCTGCCACTGGTTTTCTGGAAGGACTCACCAGGCTGCTGGTTTCCCTCTACCTCCCCAAGGAGCCTAAGGCCTCCCTCTGCCCGTCATCCCCTGGGCCCAAGCCTTAATTCAGCCACAGGCAGCCAAGACAGCCAAAAGAATTGGTTCTTTCTCTCAGTGTGGCTTAGGGGAGGGGGAGTTTTGAGTCTTCTGCCAAGTTTGGAAGCCCTAACATTAAGAAATTCTGTATGCAAAGATGATTAAGACAATTTCCCATCAAAATGAAATTTCTCCAACAAACGGAGATTAAGACTCTCCTGGAGCAGCCAAATTCTAGAAACAGAAAGCTCCAAGGGGCAAGAAGAGTTCAGTCGGCTGATTTGCACCCTAAAAATTAATGGTCTGATGTTTGTGTGTGGGATGCACACATGGGCAGAAGCTTTAGCTTGAGCTCGGTTTCCTGCTGAGCAGGATTCAGAGAAAGGGGAAAGGAGGGTCCTCTTTGCCTCAACCAAGAAACCCTAAAATGACTGATGTGATCATGTATTTAAAAGCTTTTTGTAAAGTATAAACTAAAAACCTTAAATGTAAGATGCTGTTGTGATTATAACTGTTGTTATTGCTATTATTGACATGTCAAAAGGCCCTTTTTAGAAGCTGGCTTTGCCTTTGCAATCTGATAACAAGGAACCTGAGTATGAAGTGTCAGAAAGAGGAGAGAGAGAAGGACAAGGGGGAGAGGAGCAAAGAGAGGAAAGGATATCTCCCAAGAGCAGGGATAGAAAGAAGGAAAGCCCCCCAGGTGGTCCTCAGGAAGCCAGGAGTGACCAGGCCGGGAATTGGGCCAACCTTGCCCTTCACCAGAGCCAAAGCTATCACCAGACTGAAACCTAAAACTAAGCAATCATCCCCTGCTTCCCTGGGAGCAGAAGCCCATAGCATCAAATGATCTATCCTTCAAAGATTCACATTATCCCAGATATCAGAGCTGGAGGAACCCTACACGGTCCCTGGTGGGTGGGGAAACTGAGGCTCAGAGAAATGAGTGACTAGATCATAGGCCAAAATTAGACAGCAACTTTGTGCCAGAGGCAAGAGTACATGCAGTGCCCACCCAGTCCAGGGTTCTTTCTGCTCCTCCACAGTGGGCATCCAGGCAGGGTCAAGGCCTGAGACAGGCCCTCCAAAACCTCCTGGATGGCCAGGAGAGGTCTTTCCCCTCCCCTACAGTCATCTCTACGGTCACTCCCGATGGCCAGGAAGCTGGCGAAGTTGTTTGGCTTGGAGGCATTTACTCATGTTTTCTAGTCTGGGGGTTAAACAATGTCAAAGGAAACTCTTGGAAAAAGATGGCGAGAGACACCAGCTAGCCAGAACCACCAAAGACAGAACTGGGCATTTGGCAAAGCTTATTTAACTCAACAACAGTTTCCGATAGGAAAATACTTAAGACTGTTTAAAAGCAATGTTATAATGTCACTTCCCCAGTACGCAATAAATAGTGTGCATTTTTGTCAACGGATTGTCATACTCTGATGTCAATAAAATAAATGAATGGGTCACAGAAGAGCTACCAGATGCTCTTGTGAATAACCATAATTCAGCCTTGCTCCGTGGTATGTGTTTTATTTTTACCCTTGAACTTCACCCTCCCTGGGTCACAGATTATTGTATTTATGGGGTTTGGGAAAATCTGGTGAAGAGTTAGACAAAAAATCAGTTTCTTGGACCACGAACTGGGAGAAATGGATCCACAGTTCCCCAGACACATTAGAAAGAAGACCCCATTCATGGCTTAGGGTCTGCCAGGATGTGGTTTGTATGGCCACAGACTGGGTGCCAAGGGTCATAGGGGAGAAAGCCATGTCAGTCCAGGAGAGGAGAATGCTTATTAAGATGTGAAGGAAGATTCCTCTTGGGCACTCCCCAGCCTAATTAAATTCCTCCCTTAATTCATTCTGTGGATATTCTGGCGAAGCTCGCTCTCTCTGGATCCTGCTTCTGACTCTTGATCCTCTGACCTCTGGTTCTTGGGATGTGAGCCAGCAGCCTGCTGTCTGAACTGCAGATTTTGGGATTCTCCAGCTCCCACAGCCCAGTAAGCCAGCAGTCTGCCATCTGACCTGCCAATTTTGGGTTCGTCACCCCTGCAATCACATGGGTCAGGAGAATTCTCCAGCCTGATGTC